ATGGTTGTGTGGTAGCTGTTATGATAACTGTACCTGTAGCATAGCTATATGCATCTCATTTAAATATCTCTTAATTCTTCTGTATGTGGTTTACATGAGTTACAAATAATTGTATCTGATCCTCACAACATACCTGGGAGCTAAGGAAGTACCATCCTTCAAATGTGCTTGAGGAACACATATGAAAGGAAATTCTTCCTTTACTTGTCTAGAAAATAGTCTTTCTCTCCTTTCTTCCTTCAAATTGTATTTATTTCCAAACTGGACAGAATGAAAATACAGTATGTTAGACCTGTGCTAGATTTAAGTCAGTTTTTTTAGGTTCATAGGAAATCCAGCATTAGGTCATTGGAAAGGGGGACTGCTTCTGAGTGGGCAAGAGCAGTTAGCAGAGCTGTTCCATCAGCAGGGAACTCCTGCCAATAAGGGCAGGGCAAGAGCAGAGAAGTCAGTCAAACACAGGAGAGAAGAGGGAGGAGGGAAGAGCCCTAGAGTAGAAGTGAAATCAAATGGACTAGAGGAAGAAGGGAATAAACCAGTTGAATATTGAGAAATGGCTTGCAATTCTGCTTCAGTATGTAATTTCAGTAAATTCAGACTTACTAAACAAATAGTAGTACCACTATAGGCAGAATTAGACTGCTCAGTGATTAACTAAGTACTGTGACTAGTTTGGTTTCTGGGTCATGCAGTTATACCAGTCCCACTCAAAGGGAAAATTTGACCATATGTGAAATCTGCCTTATAAAATTTGAATTTTCAAACAGTGGCTAAAACCATTCGTGGTTAAATTTGTTGAGGGTTATTAGATGAGGATGTTTTGATTGTGAATTCTTTCAGGTTATTGTCATAAAAAGTTGAGTACAGTTTGAAGCTATCAGGTCTTTACAGGAAAGCAGTGGCTGTTCTGTCACATGATTTGTTTGCAAATATGATTACTACCTATTAATTTAGCATTAATAAAGTGTAGAATGAAAGAAATTGTTGCTGCTGATGTTAATCATGACAAAATTAAACATTTCACAGAGAAGAGTAAAAAGGAAACATATTTCAAGGTAGCAAAAGCAATGACTAGAATGTGAGAATCTTGTCCATCTTGGGCTTTTTTCAGTCAAGGGATGTAGTCACTGCCATGTTGTGCTGTGTGCTGTCTCCTCTTTTGTTGCCCATCACTTTGCTTTCACAGACAGGTGCCAAGAACTAATCCTTCTATAGCATTCTGCTTTGTCAAGATCTGAGTCCTTGTTTCTGTGCCTTTTTCTGTGTCTTAAAAGACAGAGATGTCCTAACTCAGCCAAATAGATATCCTGTAGACTTTTTTAGCCACTTTTCTTAGCCGTAGGCAATTTATACAAATTCAAAGAATGGCCTGTCCAAATAACTCTTCTGACCATCATTAAGTTTTGGAGTATGTTATTTTTCTTATTCTGCTGAAGATTTTATTATGTCAGTTACCTTTTCTCAGCACAGTGAACAGACCACTTCTTGGGTGAGTTGCTCTTCTAGTATGAAGCAGAAATTCTTCTCCTAGCTCTGTTGGTTTATGCTGATTTTCCATAGCTGACAGGTTAATGAACCTGTTGTTTATTTGCATTTGTTGGGTTTCTGGGAGGTGGGATGGGTGAGTTTATCAAAATGTGGTTTGTAGAACAGTGTTCACAAGAAGAAAACCTTGGTTTTCTAAGGTTCCCAGACCAGGTATGCAGTGACTGTTATCTCAGCCAAGCAGACATCTGTGATTCAGTGAAGGCATGGTTGTTGCAGGAGGAGTGTCCAAAGAGAAGCCATCATTTGAAATCCATGGCCTGAAGGTATGACTGTTTATTTAGGAGGATGGGGAGCAGTATTTCAGTCCTTATTTTGACCTGGCCAAAATCTGGTGATTAAGAGGTTCATTTCCCATATTTCTGGCATATATGTTCCTTTTCCTGGGCAGATACCCATTTGCTTGCTTGGCTTTCTAAACCTGAGCTTCATATCTATGAGGAGACTCAAAGGGTAAATTCATACATTAATCCAGAGTTTCTCTTCCTGATGTGTCGTGGAGAAATGAATGTGTTTGGGCATACTTTCTAGGTTTTTGGTTTCATCTAGGAATGTGTTTATAGCCAACCATTTTCCTGTTACAGCTTCTCCTTTTGCCTTCCTTTTTAGCCCAGTAGTTTTTCACTGACCTGACTTAGGAGAAAGGTATTCATAGCTGACAGACTTCTGGCTATTTATGGACTTACTCATTTCCCCTCTACTGTTCTACTTTGTGTTAGGTCCTTGTTCTGAAGGAGAGGCTTCCCTTGCATGTTAGTCCCCTTGCAAATGAAGGGAAAAAACTGCAGCTGCCTTATGGGAGAGGTTACAGGGCATTTCTTACATCTCAGTAGTGTCCTTTATTTTCTGCCAGTCTTGCTTTACCCTGATTAGCTGCCACGTAGATGAGAGAAGGAGGCCACCAGGAAACAGAATGGTTGCTTCAAAACCTTGTGCACTGCAGTGGTTTCAAAGGAGTGCATACAAATGCTGTGGATTCTGCTGTCCTAGAGCCTGGAGCAAGCATTGGGTCCTTAAGGTCCTACATTTTCTGCAAATTGACCCAGCCATCCAAAGTGGAAACTACAAGAGAAGATAATTCAGTAGAGCTGGTGAGTCCCTATAAGCAAAACTAGTGAATCTGTCATCGCTTGCTGCATAAGAAGCCAAAGTTAGCTGAAACATTGTTCTTTTATGTAACACAGGGAAAATGGCTCTGGTCCAGGCGATCCAGAAGCCTGAGGAGCCAGACCATCCTGTGATGTTGGCCTGATTAGCTGCAAATAATCCTGGCTCAACTCCCCTGTTCTGTATCTGCTGGTTTTGGTGAGGGGAGGGGGAAGGCTGTGTGTTTCCTAGGCTCTGTGTTTATGAACTGGACTACCCATGCTGTAATCCATGCAAGAACTGCTTTTAGTGCATGCACAGAACCAAGTGTGGGGGCAGAGAGTGGTTTGTGAGTGCTTGTACAGAAGTGTCTGGATAATTAACTCAGCCATTAGGTAGGAACATTTAAATCCTTGAAGGTCTTTTCTGTGGGAAATACATGATAATCATCTCCTTAGGCACCCAAAAGAGACAAGGTTAGATTCTGATGTCTGCCTAAATTGCACATCAGGAATTTAGGTGCTAGTTTTGAGTCTCACCTGGAATAACTTGTTCCATGTCACAAGGATTTAAACCTAGTCTTACTGCCAGGGTAGCACCATCATCGCTTGGTCATCTTTACTGGCTCATCTGTCTCCACTGACAGCTGGCACAGTACAGTGAGGGCTCTCTCAGTCCCACAGGAACAAATGCCAATTAGCAGGGGAGGGCAGGAGTGGACACAGACCCAAGTCACAGGGGTATTCCAGGATAGCAGGGTTACTCTATTTCAGGTGCTCTCATGGCAGCATCCTAAGCCTTGCATATTAGTTAACCTTTCCCATAGCTGCTGTATGTGAAAGGTCTTTGATCTATGAATGAACCCAACACATGGTGCTTGTTCACTGTATGTTAACAGTAGAGGTATTATTTTTAGCTCCCAAATTATTTTTCTTCACTATTAGAGCTGAAAGACCTTTCGTCCTTAAGGCAGGCAACTGTTCACAACAGTGTATTGGGGACAATGTGCTACATGAAGCTGACACTTCCATTTGGAACAATTTTTTTTCAGAATGGATAAATGGCTCTTTAAATAGCCATTACAAAATCTAAACAGTAGTCATGTTTTATAAAGTTCTAAAGAGAACTGTTGTCTTTGGAACATGTAATTTGCAGATCTCACTGCAGTAATCCTTGATTTAGAACAATTACAGCACTAAGTGCTTGCCTTTTTTCCCCTTTAAAAAACAAAACCAAACCCCAAACCAAAAGCCAGACAGGTTCCCAGCAAAGGCTGGGATAATTGAATGGAAACATAGCCAAGTCTTGCAAAACTCGAGTATACAGTTGCTATTCTCTCATGAGATATTTTCTCCTGCCATCTGAGAGCCTGGTCACTTGTTTTCATTTTTTAAATTTTTTTTTTAATGTAATCACCAGTTGCTAGAAATAAATATTGCAAGAACTAATATGCTGATTACAGCCTTAAAACTGGGCATGTGTGCAGTGCACACTGGTTTAAGAGGAAGTTGTTTTATAACATTTTAAATTATGAAATTTCTTATGCAACCGAGTTAAAGGGTCATTTATAAACAATCCAATTCCAAAGCTTCCTTAGGCAGTAACTGACCTATGTAATTTCTTGTAGCTTAAGCCTGGCTCAGTCCAGCCTCATGCCAAACAAGATTTGGGAGCTGGAATATACAGAATGCTGATTCAATGTACAGTTCATAATATTTCTTTCCCACTCAAAAACAGGTGGAGTAGTTCCATCTGTGTCTCCAGAGTCTGGTTTTTTTTACATCCCTTAGTAGAGGTGCTGCTTGCTATGGCAGGAACATCTCAGGCACCATTGGCAGCAGGCAGGCCATGCTGACTCTGGATCTCAGACCATGAAACCAGGCCTTGCACAGCTGATTCTGCAGCCAGCTTCAGTCCCTGACTGAGGAATAATTTATACAGCTACAAGAAATTTAACTGCAGGCCTCTACCCCTTGTGTGAGCATGGAGCATATCCAGAAAGAAGCAAATCCATGTTCGTAATCATCAGCTTAAAACCACTGCCCTTCTCTAAGATTTTGCAAGGAAAATGATATGGAGGGATACTTAATACTTCCACTTGGGCCAAAGCTAACTGAGCAGCACAAGGGACATCCCCATTCCTTCTTCCTGGTATGGATGTGAGACTTCTGCTCCCTTTTCAAAGAAAAGGTAATTTTCCCAAATCACTTCAGGTGAGCAAACAGCTAAACAGATACATTGTATTTCCTACCACAGAAGACTGAGCCAAAAGTCTTCAGCCTTACAAGTGACTGTGCCTTCCTGAGCTTGTTTCTACCAAAACCCATTTTTGGTTGGTTTTTTTAAAGCCAATTTTAAAGACAGTTAAATTTAATTTTATTACAAAGCTTTTATTAAAAAACAAATGCTCAGCACATTAACTCAAACTGGAATGACAAAAAAAAAATTGGTTGACAGTATTTTTGGCAAAGGCTGTGCCTTACTATTTTAAAAAATGGGTACATCAATGCTCATTTCAACAACTGGCATAAAATCCCACTAACAGGCTAACAAAAACAGATACAAATACAGAACAATTGAAGTAATAATTCAAGTGCTGGGCTTTTTACAAGGAGAAGGGGAATGGGTGAGAAGGAGAACTCACTGCAGTCATATTTGCTGGATGTATTGCTTATGTTTACAGAGTAGATGATGCAAGACTAACATGTCTACTGACCAGCTGACTGTTGTTACATTTATTTAGTTCTATAGGACACTGTATTATATAGACTGAGAGGCCACTATTTGTTACAAATAGTTTAACAAAACAGCCACCTTTTTTCCATACAGATTTTTTCTCTGGCAGAAAAAGAAAAAAAAAGAAAAACTCCTTTTATTTAAAAAGTATTTCAGATTTTTGACACTTGTTTAAGCTCATACCTAGTAAAATATACACCAAAGAAATTACAAACTAAAAGTTAAAATATAAAAGCATTCAAGTTTCTTAAAAAAAGCTAAAACCAAAATTGATCCTGTCGCACCATTAAATAAAAAGAAGGTTGAGCGCGTCATCCTGGTCCAGGCAAATTCCATCCCTCGATGTGCTGTGTGGGGCAGCTGTGGTCTACGGAATTCTGCTGGCTGAAGCAGGCACAGACAGCCATGCTATTGTGTTTGCTGACTCAATATGGACACAGATGAGATGGGGGCTTAAGAGTGCAAGGCAGAGGTGAAGACAAAAGCTGCTCTGCTGACCCAGGAGCTCATTTGCTCTATTTATATCAGGGCTGGACCTCGTGATAGTGAAGGATTTTGGCAGTGATTGTCTTTATGATTCAGTGTCTCTAGCAGTGACATCAGGGTGAATGACATCCTAGACAGACTCCTTGGGGTGGTCTGTGTGGATGAAGGACACACCTAGGGTTTAACAAGCTTCCATCTCCAGAAGGGGTCCTGGTGTCGCCGCCTTTGCTTTGCAAGTTGAGAAAGCATTTCTTTTCCCACCTACAGGGAAGGGGAGGAAAGAGAGAGAGGAGAGTGTGTGATAAAGACTATCTGAAGCCTTAAAAAAAAAAAAATTCTTCAAACAAGCTGGTGATGGGTCACTCTAACTCTTACAGCTCTATTAGTGGAATGTGCATTACAATGTCAAAGTTAAATGCAGAATTTATTACTACTTGCTTTTGCTTGAAGTTTGCAACTATATTTATGGGAAGTACTTTGCATTGTAAAGAGATACCAACTAGAAAGGTGGGGTTTTAAACATCCAGCATATTACAGAATTTCTTCCCTTTAGTAGTGGATTTCATTTATCTACAACATTTGACCCAGATACCATTACAAAATTAGACATCCTCAGGCTTTAGTACTGCAGTGCAGTGGTTGAGGTCAATTAAACCTCTGTTTCAGAGCCTCAAGCTCTACTCCCTGCAGACATGAAAAAATGCTGTCTTCTGCAAGCAGTTTGGTAGAGGAATGTGGTGGATGAGGCTTGTGTGAACACTGATTCTACCATCCATCCTCATGACTGGGGAGGATTTATTATGCTCATCAGTGGGGTAGGGAACATCTTCCAGCTGTGTAAGACCCATGGGCCTCCTCCCTAGCAGTAAAGTTCAGTTCACTAGATCTTGGAAGGATTTATATTCTTAGAGCATGTGAAATGGCCCACAGTACAGGCCTAATAGGAACTGCTGATCCAGAAGAGCACAGTCTAGGTCTCTGGGTTACATCACAGCTGATTTATGAAATTGCCAACTCAACCATCACCCTTGCCATTCTGATCCAGACAAGTGGGTTATAACAGGGTCTCCACCCAAAATCTCTCTAACAAGTTAGACATTATTCCACACATGGACACATGCTCTCCAGTAACTGTTTGGGGATTATTGGTATTTCAGAAAAATCAACATTAACCTCTAGGTCTCCATGTACTACTCAATTGCCTAACAAATAGAAGGTTCAGTGAGCAAAGCTTTTGAGAGTGATCAAAATTAGCACAAGAATGCAGTTCAGTGGAGAAGGTAAACGAATTTTTACCAGAAGAAAGACAAAATGCTTAGTCACATAAAGATACACTGCCAGCACCTTGAGTCACACAAGGCAAGACAGAACAAGTTCATGAAGAAATGGTTTAAACCACAAGTCAAACTTCTTTTAGACTAATCATGATAGATAGACTGCTTAAGCCTGCAAGAGCCACAAGCTGAGTTAATCAGCAAAATTTACATTACATTACATTTCAGCAGTATTTAAACAGGGCCATTTATAACTAAGCACCCACCTCCCATCCGCTACAGCTTCCGTGTAAACCATTACCACACAAAGTGTTTCACTCTTAGTGGCTGAGGAGCATGGCAGCTCCTGAGTAAGGAGTTACACTGCCTCATGTAGTCCAGGCTAGAAAGCCTATAAAACTGATTTTGTACCCTTTGAATTTAATCAGCATAAGCTGAGGTCCCAAAATCGTATTAAACAAGTTGACTCCTTATCAGAGGTCACCCATGTGGCTATTGTTACAGCAGAAAGGAAAGTTGAGGACACTTAACTTTAGCTGCAGACTAAGGTAGAAAAGACCAGCATGTATTGATAGCAAACTGCTCTGTATAGCTTAGATTTAATGCAGACTCCCTTGTTGCCTACATAGTGCCATCCCTGATTCATAAGGAATAGCTTACACCTGCTGCTGGTAGCCACAAAAGCACATTTAAAGCCACTGAGGCCTCTTAAACAGCACAGCTAAAAGTCCACTGGCAAACCAGCAGTTTCAACAGAGGTGGTCTGTATTGACTAATTCAATTCCTATTTCCTCATAAAACCAGCCCATGTCCCAACTAAAAAAAGCCTCCTGAGCTTCCTGCCTTTTTTTATTTTTTATAAAGTAGCGCAGTGCTCCGTAACACGTGCGGATCAAAGAGCTACGAAGGGCTCTACCTTTCCAAGGAGCACGAAAGAGAGGCCAAGCAAACAGCAGAGCAACACTGGGGAGAGCACCCTGCAGCTTTATATTTATTTTGTGCCTTTTCATCCCAGATTTTCAAAGGTTTGGTCCAGGTTGTTCTTCCTGGGAAGGTTTTCCTCTCAGTATTACATGAAAACATTCAGCTTCCTGTTGAGGAATGGCCTTGAGGCGCCAGGCCAGTAGTTCACAGCAGTCTGATACAAGCGCTGTGATTCAGAGCTACTCCCCATTAGCAGCCAGGAATGTCTACTTCACTGAAGGAAATGAAATGCTCTTCTGTTGAGATGGTTCCCTGCCTCCTCCCCCCTTTCCTTACCAGCAAGCTGTCTTTGAAGTCAGGAGGTTAAAATAACGACCGTGGCCTTGCTCTGGTCCTCAGCTTTTTCCAACAGCAGCCATTGCTTCTTTCTCAATCCAGAGGCAGCACTGCAGTGCCTGCCTCCTTTTCATAGCTCCTAACTATGCCCAGCTCCTCCAGAGAGGCTGCAGACAGCATGGTGATTCTGGAAGGGGACAGGCACAGGGAAGCCCCACGTATTTTTATTTCCAAGCAGTACAGCAAATTATAGAGTAGCTATCCTGAAAACAGCATCTAGAACGCAGCCTTTCCCCTGCTGCACATTAAGGCTACACGCTGGAAATTGCTTCTACTGCTGATAAACCAAATAATACCTAAAAAATATGAGTGATGATGGTGTTGCCTTACAGATATAAAACAGGTCAAATCAGGATTCTTTTCAAGAAACCACAGGCATGTGCTAAGGAGACTGAAGACTTCCCACATCTAAGGCTTCACTGGGGGCCTGCAGCTGAAGTCTCGCCAGGCGAGGCATGCCCTAGCAAAGCCCAATCCACAAGTGAAGTCGGCACAAATCAAAGACTGCAATTACAGCTCCCTGGCTGTGGTTAGGCTTCAAAGAAAGTGCTGCAAGTCACATTTTACATATGTGAAGTCTTGAGCCTGAGCCACAATAGGAGGCACTGTCTGTGCCATTTGCAGTGTACATCTGACTGCAGGAGGAAAGGGGAAAAAGAATAAGAAAACAACACCTCGAGTAAGAAACAGACGTAAGATTCAAGAATAATGAAGTGCAAAAAGAAAAGCCTTACTATTGAAGTGATAAAACTAATTCAGGAATTGCTACAGTAAAACTAAATTCTCCTGGCAAGCCTGGGCTCAGTGGCTGAGGGGATCACAAGGGGATCTGAAGTCCTCCCCATGCTTCAGAATGAGATGGATGAAGGGTGGGTCTGCAAAAGTTTTGTTCTCCTCCTCTGGTCTTATAACTTTTCTAGAACAAGGGAGAGAATTATGCAGCTTCATCCAGGTCATGCTAATCAGAAAAGTTTATTGAAGAAAGTCAGGAATGTCCGGATCAGTACAGGAATAAGTACTGAGTAAAAGAGATACCTAACCCTTCATAGAGGGCAAGAGATATTAAACATTTAAAATGAAGTACTTTTTTTCCTACGCCTTTCCCTATCACATTGTTTGGATACACTTCTAAGGAGAGACAAGACTACATATAACAGGCAGTTACATGTATTTTTTTTTAAAGAAAAAAGTTCATATCCAAACCTGTCTTTTAATACAGTACTTCAAACAGCATGGCAAATTCAGGGACCCAAAAGCTGAAACTGTCATTTTCTTTGTAAGTCCAAAATGGACATGTTCGACTTACTGCCAGCCGTGGTTTATTCAATACTCCCAAAACCCGGCTATGCAAAACCAGGTCATTATTTATCAGGGCAGTTCATGGTGTTTGTGAAGTCCCTCTGTATTTTCTTTAACAGCAGAGCTGGAGAGGGTTTCAGGCACAAGCAGATAGAAGCCAGCGCTGCCGTCTGCTCCTCTTCCTGCCCAGCTGTGCCATGGTTTGTGGGTTTAGCCCAAACCAGATCCTTGAGATGTTCAGGGCAAACACAAACAAACACTCCACAACCCTTGTTGTTTCTAAACAAAAAAAGCACCTCCCAACAAAACCCCAGTCATTTAAGTAATCCAATTTGCTGCAGGGTCCCACAAGCTGTTACAAAACATGGATGGAGAGACCTACGGGAGACAGGAAAAAGCCCTCTCTGTAAGAGCTGGATACCAGCAGGCAGCAGAGGAAACTTTTAAAGCTGCCTTTGTATCCAAAGAAATGACATAAAATTGTACCATAAAACTGTAACAGATGCTGCCATGTTGAAACTATGTTAGTAAGAAGCTTTTCTGGGTCTGTCTAACCCCTCCATCCCCCTTGCTACTTTTAACCTCAGTCCATTGCTGCTAACTGTGAATGGAAACTCCAACAGCAAATTATTCACTGTTGTTTTAAATGCCCTGAATTAGCTGCCCCTAAAATACCTCTTCATTGACTACAGGTGGAGCCTGGAGTCCTAACTTCTGTGCTCATAGTTTGGCCTCAGCTAGATGCATTAAGTGAGCAGCAGGAATATTCCTCCCCCAGCCTTCCCAAGCCAGAGGCCTCTTCCAGAGCAGATTAGTTTCAACACAGAAAATGCCCAGGTATTTTAGGGCTCCTGTTTTGTGCAGCTGACGGCAATGGTGCCAAGCAGGTGTGGCTCTTATCAAAGGCCCCCAGTGTAGGCAGCACAAAACTACCAGCTCTATCACTTAGCTAGAATCTTTTAAATTATCTTACTGGAAGACCCAAGACATGTTTTTCCTGTTGGGTGTGGGAGGGGAGAGAGGCTCCATGTTTATAATAAAAACCAGATTGCCTCTAGACAGCTGTCTCTAGCAGCTTCTTAAAGAGGAACAGTATCCTAAAGGCGAGGAAGAGGGAGGAAGAAACAGGCTTGTCTCCTTTCGTATCTTTATGGCATATAATAAATATTCAGGAGACTATTTTTAAAATTATTTGTTTTCTAGACTGAGAGCTAGGAGCACTGAAATTGCTACTTCAGTTTTCACCTGCTGTAACAGAGAAGAACATGAGGTACTGGTAAAGCAATAAGTGAAGATTCTTTCAGAAGAAAGAAATAATGCAGGTACAGTTTCCTCTTTAGATCTTTTTTGTCTGCCACAATTAAACAT